CTTATTGGTATAACGTACTATAAATCAGGACAATCTCTAATACGGATCCGTTTTATTTATCTCTCTTCCTACCTAATCATCCAGCACTGCCTCTTACGGATATCTCTTCCTGCCTATTATGTAGGCATTGATATGTTTCCACCTCTTGATGACTATATGCCATCATATGGAAGGAGACATCGATTCATGGGCTATTCCTTCCTATTATCAGTTGCAGAAGTTGCCGATAACACTTATATATACCAACATGACCCTTTGCTCTTTCTGTTCTGTTATCCTCTATTGTTTTTTCCATCCTCCGATTAATGTTGACTTTCTCGCGTTCTTCCTCTGCTGACTAGCTCCTTCCGTTCTCGGAAGGGGGCTGGTTTCTATAGCGACGCGGAGCGCGTCCTATATACAACCTTTACAACCTTTTCTTCTTCTCCTTCTCCTTTTCTTTCTCTTTTTTTCCTTCTCTTCCTCGCGCCGTGACGCCACACCACATTATCACATATATATTTCCTATTATATATTGTTATGATGGCTAGCGAAAAGCCGACCATTTGGACTATTCTACAAACCGGGGCAGCCTGGCTACAAGCATTGTGGCCGATCCTGGTTGTAGCCGTGTCATACATGTACAGACGATTCACGAAAAAACTAATCGGCACCGGGGGGAACCACCTGGCTGTTCAAGAAGACGGATTGGTTCTTAGCAACCGTCAGACGGATCCAAACAGTTCTCTGTCTGGATCCGTGCGCGAACTGGCAAAGTCTATTGACAACCTTGCCGGAAGAGTTGAGAAGCAAACACAGATGATGAGCCAGCGAAAAGGCTCAGGGGTTGACACCCAGGAGAGGAGGGCTTCTCCCATAAGCCCCCCTTAGGGTAAAAGCCCCAACAGGACCCTCTTCGAATGAAAGGTTTTCATTCGGGGCATCGCGATGTGTGAGGTTCCGCGCACATCACGATGCATCAGCGACGAGCTCGCACTTCTACGTAGTGCTGATGACTAGTAGCCATTAAGGCGAAGCTAAGACGAGCTCATTGAACGGTATATAATGTTGAGACAGGTATGTAACGTTATTTTCCGCACAATAAGTGTCACAGGGAATTGGATATGCAAGCTCATGCATGATTGTCAATTTACTAACTGGGATTCGATATCTAGACATACGATAAAAAAACCTTCCCTGGTTTATGAAATATATATATATATATAAGTAATGCTATATTTGTGATGTGCAATGCTAGCAGGCATCCAACAGTAAAAAGACCGCTGAGCTATAAGAAAAAGAAAAGCCGAGCGAAACCTTCTAGCTAGCTAGTTGAATAAGCTGCGTCTGGCTGTTAACATATTGGATGTGTGTATGTTAGAATCAGACTCGTAAGTCAAACGCCGGCTCAATAACTAGCCACTACACAACTGTCCATCCTCTATCTATTATCTCATCCAGATATGGTGCTAACGCCCAGTCTGCACCTCGCTTTCCTATTTGAAAAAGCCCACCACCCCTCTACTTTCATCTTCGTCAATCACTATAGGCGAACCGCATATTCCGGAACAAACCTCCATTCCAGCAGGACCAATATATCGGTATATATTTTCTGTTTGGAAGCGGGTAAACTCAACTTCAATGCCCGGAACCTGGGGAGAAGGGAAAAGTTGAATCCCGGCGACTCTCAAAAATACCAAACGACTTACCATTCCATCAAGTGTACACCAGGTATTGATTGGTACCTCGCTGGAGTGAAGAAGTCTCTTAGGTTGTTGAGACTCAAAGTATTCGTTATTTGTAAATGATGTCGACGGATGAAGTTTGACTAAGGCGACATCGAGAGCTGTAAAACGTTCACTTATTTGTCCTATACAGAGTCCATCGGGGAATAATGAAGGATGGTACGTCATCGGAGTACGGGAAACCATGATTTGATACTGTTAATCTGGAGCCTTCAGAGGATCTAAGTAATACACCTGCTGTTGTGGCTATTGTTGTATCAAGGTAACCTCCGTCTATAGAGGTTGTACCACTTTCTACTCTAACGCCAGGACATAAGCTGTGTAGTTCTGTTGAAAGATAATTTGTCATATCATGGAGACTGGCGGTTGGTTTAATCACGCGCTCTCGCCCTTGGACCTTAAGGTCCCAGAAAGGTGTTTGGCTATGGTGGTATAATATGAGATGATTCGCGACTCTCCCTGGGAGCGATCTCCTTTCGTACACCCGTCCATCATCAGCTCCAAGTTCAACTATAATTATAGAATGAACAAAGCCGATTGACTTAATATTCATCATATCCTTGAGCTTATGGAATACCACTTGGTACTCCTCTATTGATGGTTTGCCCCATTTACTATAATGGAATTTCACAGGGATAGGATCAGGTAGTCTCGGGTTACAATAGCTGATATCTGCCGATAGCGGGTTCACTGGGTGGTCTGGTGGGACAAAAAGACATGGGACACAAGCTACCGTTAAAGGCACCGGAACTGGGGGCGAACGCGTCTCGATAAAGATTTCTGGCCATGAGATAGTTAGCCCAGTTGCAGAGAATGTGTCTAGTATCCATTGTTTCTCGGAACTTGTAGGGTAGCGAAAATCTTGTTGTGAGTTGTCCCAGAGCGTGAATGGCGCCTTGTCTGCAATGTGTCTTGACCAGCTGCCATCATCTGTCGTGGTCCAATATTGCTGTGTATGACGGGTAGCTTGCTTTTTCTCCTGCACTTTAACATCGCTGTTGTCTGGATGGGCATGTGTGAGCCTTGAACGAAAGCTCTCCCAGGACTCACCGCGCGATGGAAATGCGAGGTAAGGAGTTGTATATCGAAGAGAATTAACCGGAGAAGCTCTTTGATAGAACGCCATGTCGATAAATGTGATCTTAGTTCAGTAAGCAAAGGTGATGAGGAAATAAACGCCAAAGATAGAAGAAAATATACGTTACACAGCGCGGTCAGATCAAGGGTTCTTATTTATATGTCCCTAGTTCGTTCGCGAGAAAGTATGACCTCATCTATAACTAGCCACTTCCACAATTAGTTAACTTTTCTCTACCTATATAGTTAACTAACGACTCGCCGCATCCATCAACTTAACACAATAACTAGCTATGTTGCTCGTTGCCTTGGATTTCATTTTAATTCCTCCTCCATCTCTATTTAACTAGCGAGTAGTAGCTATGTCATCGATGCAGAATAGCGACACCACCAATGGTGGTGAGGAAAACAATCCAATGACGATAGATGACATGAAAGCATATTATTCTCAAGCTGACGTCGAAGATGCTATGTTTACCCGCAATTATGTTGAGTATTACCCTCCATTACTCCTATTCTCCGCAATACCCACTAACAAGATCCCCAACCATATCCAGGTACCGGAATAAAGAAATCAAGAAGTTACAAGACGACATCGAGACAGCAAAGTCGTCGAACGACGTCGCTGGCGTGGAACACTTTGAGAAATGCTTGCGGGACTACAAGGCGGAAACGCCATCTTTACCTCCGTAAGTATAGCTGATCGACCCTGACAATCCAGCCACTACCACAATAACTAGTTATAGGTGGTTTTTAGTTTGATCTAACAAGGGAGTAGTATTGACCCTACTGAACGGGGAGACCTGGACGCGGATGTACTTTGGAGAATCCGCGTCCTAAAGTACCAAATCTATCCCGACTCCAGTAACTTCCTACGTGAGAATATAAATGCTATTCTGAACGCGTATCGTCAGGAACAGCTGAAGCTAGACTATGATCAAGTTACTGTGTGGTTTGCAGGTAGGCTAGTTTATGGGCCTGTTCCGCGGAAAAATTTTGACCTCGGGGCAATGGTAATGGAAAAGGGGCGCGGCTTTTATGAGAAGTATGGCCCAGGCACCCTATGGGCTGAACCGGTAGCTATCCGAACCCTTGAATTTCTATTTTGATATTTTATTGATAATTTATCAACTTGCTGAGATATGAGCCTTTAGAACATACCGGTTACCCAAAAAATGATACGTGCAAGACTTCCTCCTCAAAACGAGTTTCATCACCACATGGTTTGTTAAGCATCACTACATCACTTTCTGGCTTGGCTTGTATTCTTATCCAATAGCTATTATTAGTTCAGTGTCAAAAGTCAGGGGGATTGGACTCGCCCATGAAATTACAGTTGACAATGTTCTTGACGATACAGGCTCATCTTACTTTGAGCTATTTGGTAGAGATCTCACTTGTCTCCAACTACCTCCAGATTATCCAAACTTGTTAGGTACTGCCATAATGGATACTGCCAATGGTAGAGTAGAGCGGAGAATACTGAATGTAGAAGTGCAACTTCTAATAGATGGGGTCCCTTTCGGGCAGTTTGTACAAACTACCAGCTTTCTTACTCCAAGAAGCCCGGCAGGCTCCAGTCACTGCTCTGGGATGTTTCTTCGCTCCTTGTTTTTTACCGCCACCTGCCCGGATAGGCGAGGAATGCTTTATGTTTCAGATAAAAGTAACAGGCCCTCTTCCTGCAGTCTAAATAACTTGATGGGAAGAATACCGTCTTCTGTACTAATACTTGTGAATTTTGCCCCTGAAGTTTTCGATACAGTATCTGCTTAATGCTATTAATTCCATACCACATACTTGGTATAGAAATGGCTACGCATATTTTCTGACTACAGAACACAATTTTTATACTATCAATGTGTGTATATTTCGCTATTCAATATATTTATGGGGTATAATTAAGAAGAAATTAGTCTATGAGCTTATTTAAATGTAATAACTAATGAAAGACAACTTAACGCGTCTGGGAATTTGTAGTGCTAACGCGGGAAAGACCGGTATTTACACGGTCAATATCGTAGGGGTTCCCTTCATACTCGACGGTTGCTGCTGTACGAGTACGCGTGAGACCAGATCGAGCAGATTGTATCCTGTCCAGCACCTCTCGTGCTTCTAGGCTGTTTCTTCTCGGTATAGGGCCTACCTCCGATACCTCTAAATCACTCTCAAGGTGCGCTGAGTTTGCCTGCATAAGTTTTTGCATAAATGCATCCGCCTCTCCAGCAAATTTGCAGCGTTTTCGAATGTTTGCGCCGTATATGTAGAACAAGAAAGGAAAGGGAACACACGCCAGTGCCAGGAAGGCGGGAATAGTTGAGGCCCAGTGGATTCCAAGGTTCTGGTACATATATCGGGTAAATAATGGGAACGCTGCGCCAAACAGAGATCGAAGCACAGAATTCGCGGCAAGGACTGAGGCAGCATATATAGTATATGCATCAATGAGATAATTCATTAGACACAAGAAAACAAGGACCATGCCGAAGCCAAACGGAGCCGATGCTATGATTGATACAATCCAATGTATCTGAGGTCCATTAGTCCAAGCAAACCAGAAGAGCCCGATCGGAATAGCAATTCCCCCAATAATCGCAACTGGCAGCCGTTCTTCAGGAGGTGCGAAGCCATTGTATTCCTTCGAAACTTTTGCATATCTTTTGTTATCTAGAAGGTTGATTACCATGGCGGCGAGGATTCCGCCAAGGACTCCCAAGAATGCAAGCCCTCCGATTCCGGGGCTCCAACCCCTATGTTGCTGATAAACGACTGGAAATGCTGAAAAGAGCATGTAAAGTGTTCCATAGACAATTGCCATATATGTTGACAGCAACAAAACGATAGGTTCGCGGAATAAGAGAATCCAGGGTCGCATGAGTGCAGTCTTGAAAGCTTGTCCAATGGATAATTTCCCTTGTTCAACATCCATTCTGCTCGCGTATACCTTTCCAGTAAGTTTAGACAGTCGCTGAGCCCTCTTGCGAAGAAGCACCGGGGGATAGGTTTCTGGAAGGAAAATAGAACCAATAATCCAGACAACTCCAGAGAATATGGCCAGGAATCCTTCGACCCATCTCCAACCTGCTGACTCTCCAAGAAATCCTCCTATAACTGGACCCAGTACTGGGCCCAAAAAAGGGGCTATGGCGAATATCCCCATGGCCAAGCCACGATGTGAAGCCGGAAACATATCTGCAATTACACCCCCGGCATTAGTCAAAGGGGATGAGCCAAAAGAGCCAGCAAAGAATCGGAGAACAAGCAACGTTGCCATATTAGGGCTACCAGCTGCCCCAGCATTAAAGGCTGTCAAAGCAAGGTAGGTGCCGAAGAATAGCAGCTGGCGGCCAAATAATTCGCTCATAGGAGCCCATATCAGCGGGCCGATTGCAAAACCAAGGACGAATAAGGAGACACCCAATGTGATAACTTCCGCGTCGGCATGAAATTCTTGAGCAATTTCGATGGCTCCTCCGGTATATGCAGACGATATCAAGGCAACGGCAAGCGTAGCTATTGCAACAACGAAGGTGATCGACCACTTTTTAACGGCAGAATAGTTCATCGGGTTTCGAGGGTCGTTTGGAATCCATTGTACAAGATAAGGGTCCGCTTCCGTCCCGGATCCGGGGTAGGGATAATTAATTATCTCTGGTGTGACGGCGCCTGGATCAGTTACTTGTCTCCAGTGAGGAATCTTGGTCGGTATCGACTTCTCTCCCTCTATGGCATTGGCATCAGCCATACCTTCTTATTGTTGCTCAAGTGCAGAGCCGCCTTCCGAGCAGTAGAGAGATAAAGGAGAGCCAACCAGGTAAGGAACTGCCGTTAGATAAGGGTTAGGGTAGAACGGTGCTGCTGTTTGTGTGATTTTAGGGACACATTTGATGCCGCAATCTAACTAAGGGGGAAGCAGACGCATTTTAAAGCGATGCGCACGCAATCGATCCTCGTCATCGGGTGAGTCGGGTTGGACGAAAAAAAAAGTCTGATAGTGCAAGTTGATACAACTGCATAAGTGGATACACAACAAGCTCCTTCGCGCTGATGAAGTTTCTGTTGTCACCTCCTTTGGCAACCCAAGGCGCGGCAAGTCAAAGATATGACGTTAACGAGAGACCCTAGACCTCGGCTGAGTCAAAGAAAAGTGCCGTGACCCGAATACGAGTTCGTATTTTAAGTATCCTGGTTCGCTCGTTTCCGGACGGACGACCTTTGGTCCGAGTATTTGGATTTTTTAACGTTTTATTTGGTCTCACTTCCAGTGCCTCGGCTGTTTCTTCTAGTGAAGCAACGAAGAGAATTCCGCGTTTTGGTCTAAGGTACTTGAGTACTTGACCTGGAAAACCCATCCAGCGGCTAAAAATGATCCCATGCGTGTGTGGGTCGCGATTGGAGGACAAGCCTTGAAACAAATCTGTTCATTGGTTAAATGCTTGCTGGGCTTGTTCTGCTCTGGCGGGCGATAGCTCAGCTCAACAGACCAATTCTCTATTCTCCGTAGAGCTTCTGACAGTCCTAAAGTGAGATAGACTTTTTATTTTGGCAGACGGGAGTAGCCTAAAACTAATATCGTACGATGCTGTGGCCTCCTTTGCTATGACAAGTTAGCTTTCCCGACTATAAAAGGACCCCGTCTAATTTGTTAACTTGTGGCCTCCGAATTTCAAGCTGTGCTAGCCAGTATCACTTTGCCTGATGGCGGCGGCACACCTATCTTCCCCTTATTCTTCCCCTTGGTGTGAACCCTTTGATCATTCGGGTCGAAGCCGCCATTCCCCCACAAGGCCCACTCCTCGGTCTCGCGCATATAGTCTTCAGGAGCAAAGGATTCACCAGTTTGCTTTTCACGTTCTAGGAGCTCAAAGAAGCGCTCATAGTTGATTCTTGTATGCCATTTGCCGTTTACCAGGAAACGCTTGGATGCAAGTAGGACGCAACAGCTATGAGCATGCTCGGCAGATAATCCATATGAAAGGCCACGCCGTTCTAACTCCTCATTCAGTGCGACCACAAACGCAACAATTTCGTGATAAAAAGGAACATTCTGCATCGTTAAGCCCGCATTTGAACTGGAACTCGTTCCACAGTAAGTCACACCTTTTATTTCGATAAAACAAGGCAGACCTTTCTCAACGAGGTCAGCGTAGCCCTCGACCTCATCATCAATGTTGAATCCTTTGACGAGAGTAAGTCGATACACAGTCCTGTGCACATTTCTCTTTTCTCGAAGTATGTCCAGACAACGTTGGAGGCGTTCCCAGAAGTCCCGATGTAAAGGTCGGTCAATTTTGCGGAGGCTTTCACGATTGCTGGCGTCAATGGACACATATAGCTGTGTCACTCTTTGTAGGGCAGCCAATTCATCAGGATGCTGCGCATTGCAGACCAAGAAGCTGGAAATGTGCTCACCGTGTAGAAGCGAGAGCAACTCGTTGATGTGAGGATAGAAAATTGGCTCACCGACTAAGCTCAGGGCGCAATGTCTGATCCTCATGGCTTCTGCGAAACGCTCGGCCCTAACCCCAGGAACACCGCGCAACATCTTGATTTTCTTGTAATGGCCCTCCTTGACGCCATTGAAAATCAGCTCGGGAGGATCAACTTTCCAGCGCCACGTGGTTCCGACCGGATTCGTTCCATGTCGCCAACAGAAAATGCATTTGTTACTGCATGAGAGGGAAGGTGTCGATTCCATACAAAGATGCGATTTGATTCCATAGAAAGAGTTTTTGTAGCACGAACCACGCCCTCGTAGAGCTGATTTTGTCCACCGGCAGATTTTGACACCAGAGTGAGATCCAACAATAGTGTACCCTTGTTTCGTCAATGCAGTATACGTTGGAGAAGTTGACGGTACCATCTCCTTGCTGAAAAGCGATGATATCTTGGTGGGAGCATAAGTGGTGAAGTCAATAGGTTCATCATCAAGAAGGTCTTTCGGGTTGAATTTGATATCTTCAAGGTCGGCGACTTGGATATTTCTGGCTTTCGTTCGTCGTGGGCGGCTGGGGTTGTGGGGCCGCTGATTGTCCTCCTCTGCATCTTCCTCGTCACTTTCTATAGGGTCACCGCTACCCGGAACACCTTCACCCAGGCCACCACCATTCTCAGATATATCATGGAGCACCGAAACGATCCCGTCACACCACTCTTGCAGAGAGTGGTCTCCGTCAGTCTTCGCGTCCCCAAACCCGAGAGGATAGGCGCGCCGTTTTCCAGTCAGCTTGGCCAGCCACTTATCAACGGCTACCGCCTGGGAACAAAAGCCTTCTTCCACAGTTGGCCATCCTTCTTTATCGCCAAAACCGAAAACACAGTACCCGGTCAGACCGGACAATGGCGAAGTATCAATGCGGAAGTCATTGTGAGTTTCGTCTAGATGGTTGAGAAAGTTATTGATGATGCTGTCAATGTCATAGCTTGGCAGTATTATGCAATACAGATACGACAATCCGGGCTCTGATGTCGGTGGCTTAGGTGCGGTCACAAAGTAGTCGTCGAAATCAATGTAGGATAAATCATGTAATTCAGGTTCCAGAACCTTGCACTGGGCATTCTGCGGTGCTCCTTGTAACTTGGATTTCACGCTCTCGAATGCAGCTCGAGCGCTTTTCTCTGTGGTGCCTGTCAAAGAAGTAAAGAAGAAAATGGGTCGAATGGCAGAGACAACTTGAGCTGTGACATTCGCATCCCCCTTCAACGGCCTCAGACCACGGAGTCTCTTTGGTCCAGGCTTTGTTTCACGTTTTAATGACGTAGACTTTGCCAGCGTTGTATTTTCTGGCTGTGCTGGTTTATCACTAACAATTGTCTTTTGAATAACTTGCTCCGCTCCTTTCGATTGGTTTTCCTGTTTGCGCTGGCTCGAGAATTCGGTTACTGCGAGAAATGTGACAGCTATAATAACTAAGATATATGCCCGATAAGCATGCCATAGTGATAAAGCGACTAGAATCCCAGCGGTTAGTTATCTCGGTGGCTAGCGGGGGAAGGGGAACAATCGCGTGCTTATCATCAGTTATCTCTCACTTTGAAGGAGTATGGCAGCCATGGTTGCTAGTACCAGGTTTTTCTCTTGCCAGACACCGTGCGGGCGGAGAGCACCGCTTGGTAGATCTTGACCTCTTTTTCAACGAGATACGTCGTCTTGTGCGGAAACAGATGGAATAACTATCAGGATACAATCTTTTGCCTTTCTTTGGTTAATTATTCTTTTTTTTTTTTTCTCTCTGAGGCGATCCTGATGCTTACGTCATGTTTGCACTGTTTACATCCGGATTAACTATTTTCTATGCCAAGAACTGAGGGGCCAGAGATTATTCCCTCGGGCGGAGAGGTCAACGTCAAACGTCAAACATACATCGAACATCCATTCCGAATATGAATTAACACTCGATTGAAAGAGAGGTCGTTAAGCTTGGAAATGATTCTGATTAATCTAAGACTTAAAACGTCTATTAAAACATGCGAACCCTTCAGTCTATCGTGCTGCAGAAGGTGATAAACTATGAAAACAATTCCCATGTTTTTTTGCCGTCGTGAAAAGACCCAGATGCTCGCATGCTCCCAGAAGCAACAAGGATATATCGCCACAGAAATGACCCAGAACGCCAAACGGAACGCTGAATAAACATAAAAGACAAGCGAAGACAAAAGTCGAAGTATACAAATGAAAGGGAAAAGGTAAGGGAGCTCAGATGGTCCCCTGGATCGCTTTCCGCGTCCTACACTGGCCGAACGGCGCTGAGTGCATCATCAAGTTAAATCAAAAGAAATAAGGAGACATGACAAATGCGACGATGGTGTCGTCGAGATGATCAGAAGGCAAGTCGGCTTCGGAGTTCCTTCCAAAGGGCAGTCTGACTGGCAGTTGAGCGTTCGATGGCATCTCGGTTCTCTTCTGCGCGACGAAGGAGGTACATGACACACTCCTCAGTGGAGCCCCAGACGACGTACTTGTACACCTGGGCATCCTCATCAACCTCGCTGGTGGACTGGGTGATGCTCATGGAGAGTTCATCGGCCATTCCCATGAGCTGGGAGTAGACGACGTCAGCAAGGGGAAAACCATGGCGGATCTGGTCCTGGCGTAAGGCACGGATCTTGTTAGTGCTCTCCTTGTTGTGACTGGCGAGCACCAAGCTTATCTTGGGAGCTGAGTGGTCTTCGATGTGCTGGGTGGCCAGCATATGAGCGGCTTCATCAAAGGCATTATCGGTCTGCTCCTTGGTATCGAAGATGACATGGCGAGGGTCGGAGTTGATGTATGCGCCTCGCACAAGCTTGACACCGAGGGTGAATCCTTCTTGCTTGGCTCGCTGCAGGTGCATGGCCAGGGTAGCTGGAGAATCCTTGAGGTACCTATACATGGGTTAGCCCTGGTTCTATAAATGCTAAAAGAGACAGGGAAGAAACTCACATCTGATATGTGTTGTAGATGACGGTCTCACCATCCGTGTTGTATCTCTGCATGAGGTCCATGGTCCAGGCATCGATACTCTTCTTCTGGGAGTAGTGCTCGGCATCAACGCAAACTCTGACGTTGTTCTGCTTCGCCTGGACACAAATTTGCTCAAGAGCATCGGCAAGGACAGGGTCGATGTCTGCCCCCTGCTCGAGGAGTTGGACAGCCCCCTGCCCGGCACCAGAGTACTTGATAGCAATGAGATCACCAGAGCTGGAGTACTGGATGGTTTTGAGGGTGCCATCGAGCCACTGGGCGACCTGCTTGCGGTGCAGGGCCTCCATCTCGGCCGGGGTGCCTGTCTGGTCGATATTGTGGTGTGTGTCGACCTCCTTGGCGTAAGAGAGAATGGCACCGCGGTATCCCATGGCCTTGAGCCCTGAGACGGTCTGTCTGACTTCAGCCTCGTTACGGCCGGCACAGAACTGGGCATAGAAGATGTTGTCGAGAAGGTAGTTCAGGACCGGATTGCCCGTGATAACTTTGAGGTTCGACTTGAGCAGGCTAGAGGCAATATCCATGAGGAAGGGGCGGGACATAGCAGTCTGGATGGCAATGCTGCGGAGAAGATCCCTGTTTGGCAGTCTATCGAGGGCTCTTTGTGGCTGCTGCTGTGGTATCTGATGCCCAGCGACATCCTCAGCAGCACTACCACCACCGCCAACTACTGGAACGACAGTCTGAGGTACCTCCGCGCCGGCACCCCATGCTGGACGAGGCCCCAGAGACCCCTGATTGTCCGTGGGGATGTGGATGGGCCGGAGCTTCAAAGAGGAAGCATTCTGAGCGGTGTTGGTGATGGGAACACGTCTGATGGCAGACGCTGCTTTGGCGGTGGTGCGAATGTAGGATGGTACACGAGAGGCCATTTCACTATGTGGAGGTTATCTGCAGTGTGGCTGTCTCTTCTGGTAATGAGCTGGTTTGGTCTGAGGAAGAGAGAAGAGAAGGAGGAGGAGGAGGAGAAGGGGAGGGAGGGAGGAAATATATAAGTGTGACTTGACGGTGTGCCTGTCCAGGCGGGACGGAGGAGGTAGAGTGTGACGGCGAGACGGAGGAAACGAAGGAAAAGGGCGAAAGGGCGAAGCTGCTGCTATCGGCGGAACGAGATAGAAGAATGTCGTCTTCCGAGAGTCACTAAGCGACCGTTTCCGGGCCTTTCCTGGCACTTCCGCCCTCACATGACCCAACTTCGCCTCCTTCCTCTTAGCTTTTTGTTTTTTTTTCTCCATCTTTCCCCTTTTTGGCGCCAACTTTACTTCTTTTTTTTTTTTTTTTTTTTTTTTTNGTTTTTCCGT